GGAAAGAGTTTTGTGCTCCAGAAGACAGTTGAAATGTATTAATTGAGTAAAAGAGTGGATCGTGTTAAATCACTGAGGAAGAAGTAGTGGTTTTTAATTGCTACTTGCCATTTTGTGGCCTCTTCGGGCTCTAGGAGCACTTGCCGTGATTCCAGGTTATTTTTCTGCTGTGGGATCATGAAGCAGTGGATGATGTGATATCCCTCTTCTGTTACTGAGACAGCCAATAAACATCCTAATCTCACTCACTGCACTGAAGAGTAGATTTACAGCTGTGTGGTGAGCATAAAACAAATGATCGGAGGATTCAAAGGCATACTCCTGCCACAGACAAACATACGTAGTAGCAAAACTTGGAGGTTTTTTTGTGTGTTTTGAAATTGGCTGACTTGATTAATACGGCTTCATGTATGCCAAGCTGTTCAGCATAAACTCAGCCATATTTCCCCTTCCTCCATCTCCCCTTTTCATCCTTCATTTGTTTCTGAATAGCTTCTTACGTAAAGCAGTAACTGCAAAGAATTCACGGGAAAAAATGTCCTCCATAAATATATTTTATTTCATCTGTTTTCTTGCACGTTCTCCTGATTGCAAACGTTGTTCATTTAGAATAAAGATCTTGGACCTGAGAAAGGTGACAGTGTCCACAGTCCAGTAGTGCCGTGGCCTCTGCACCCGTCCACCTCCCTGGTTTCCTTGCGGGGCAGGTGGGGAGGGCGCTGGGAGTTGGTCCTGTGATGTGCTGGGCAGAGGTTTATCTGTTGGGTCTGGTGTCTGTGGTCAGTCTGTCAGTCTGTTTCTGAAAGAAAGAAAAAAAGATGTGTCTAAGCCTTGGGCCAAGGATGGAGTAATAACTCCTTTTCTCCTCTGTTTAAGGACAAACGATGCTTCTCAATGAGAGCTCAGTGAGGTTCTTAAATTAAACCCAATGCCATACATTAGGAGGCTTTCCCCAGCCTCTCAAAACTTACAGGGAATTTTGTGAGCATGATTTAACGGGACATAGTCAGGCATGATTTAATGGGACATAAAATGCCTCTTACTTTGATATCCCATCGATCTAAATGAGAGACAAAACTGTAAGGGGTCTGTTTCTGTTTGGTATTGATTCACGATATTTTGATATAAATCCTGCAAGCAGGTGCCAGCCTACAGTTAACTGAAGAGAGCAGGATTTAGTGGGGAAAATGTCGTTGTGCAACCTGGGCTAATTAGGTTACAGGTGTTGGCAAGTAAGTAGTGTCCTGTGCTGTACCAGTTGAGTGTTTCTCATCTAGCAAAGAGGGGATTGTGAGGGATCTACTGCTGCCTGCTTCAGTTTTCTGCAATCGCAAGTATTTTCGGATGCAGAAGGCCAGGTATCGCCCTTTTGTAAACAGGCGCAGTGCCTCTGTTGTGCAGCTCTGCCTTGGGGCCGTGTGCAGATGTGCGCTTGGCTGATGAGCACCTGATACATGCGGGAGAAAAAGTTTCTGGAACAGCTTTTTGATAATGATGGAAAATGGAAAGGGGACAAATTTAGGTTGAAAATGAGGTGCTGGTCTTTAACCCTATGGGCAACTAATCACTGACACCAACAGCAATGTATTATGGTGGTCTCTCCGTTGTATTTCGTTTGAATTTAAAAGTTTTCAAATGTATGGAGTGTTCCCTTCGAAATCCAACTTACTGGATCGAGACTTGCTTGTGGGCAGACCAGATATGGTGCGAGCCGTGTGTTAGAAATAAGACCTGAGATTCTCTTCCTAGAAGACGTGAGGAGCTGCGAAGGTTTTCCAGCCTACATAAGAAATGGATTTGCTTTGGTGTTAATTCAGGTTCTAGAAAAGCTTGGCAAAAATCTCATGATAACAGGTTTATTCCTAGATTTTCTTGTCTCCTGTGTGCTGTTTAGCCTTGAGCTCCCCTGAGAACCTTCTCAAATATCATGTTTATTTCATTAATTGGTAGTGCCTGAAGGGATCAGCCCATGGCCCGGGCTGAGGGCTACGGCTGTGCTAGAACTGAGTTCTGGCCCTGTGCATCCCCTTTGGGATAATTAGTGAGACTCGAATCCTGAATTGAGAAGTATTTTGGCCCGGGATCTGGATTTTGAAGGTACTGTCTGGCAAGTGGCCAAATGCTTTCCTCCCTTGAGGGTGACAGCTGTAAGCAGAGAGGGAAGATGTCTCAGGTGTGGTTTGATAGCCCGTGGATTGCTTAGGACTCATCTCTGAGCCCCTTGGCATTGCTTCTGCTGGAACCTGGGGTTGGTGCTGGCTTTTCTGTGCTGTGCCTCTGCGTTGCCCTTGAAACACTGGAGACAGCAGAAATTTCACATCATGCATCTTCACAGCTTGTGTAGAAAACACAGCCCCTTAGAGTTGAAAAGGTGTGCTTTTCACATTGCAGAGGTGCGGGGGGGTGGAGACGGAGGATAGAGCTCTGTAAGTTGGAGAGATGGGCAGCCCGGCAGCCTCGCCTGCCGGCTGCTGGCAGGAGCTAGCAGGGTCCTGACCTGCTGACCCACTGTGAGACAGTAAATCCTCCCGAAACTGCTGTCTCAAATGTTTCTAGGAGTAAACCAGTCAAACCTCTGTGCCTCTGCCTGTAAATGGTCTGAACAATAAGGCTGAACCACGGAGTCCAGATCAGTCCCCTTTCTATTTAAAACGCTTAGAAGAAAAAACCCAGCCACTGAACAGCCAAACCTCCCCACTTCCCATCTCGTGTACTCGTTGTTCCTGCTGTTTTAACAGGTTCTCAATCAATTATGTTTGAGCTCAAGCATATTTTTTTCCCTTTTTCCCCTCCTGGCCCCAGGAGAGCCCAGAAGTGTTTCCTGTGTGTGTGCATGGATATTTGTTGACACGTGAGCTTTTTGGTAATAAACTGTTGCGATGGAGCCCGGAGGGCTGAAGTCCGGTCGCACGTGGCTGTGGGCAGAGAGCGTGCCGGCGACTGAAGAGAGCCCGTGTGAGGAAGACTGACAAAGTCAATGTTAATTTGGTTTTGAATTGCTGCCTTCCCCGTTCCTGTGGTCGCAGCCGAAGCCACCACTGGAGAGCATATTGTTTATGCAAAGCCTTTGCCTCCCCCTGCTCCCCCACCTGCCTTTGGAGAATTGCAGCTTTGTGCACATGAGCAATGTGGGTGTCTGACATGCTCCCTCCCTCCCCGGCCTTATCTCTTCTGCCTGTATCTTTGTCCGCCTGTCCTCAGCAATCGGGGGAGGAGAGCCATGATAAGAGTGGTGCAGGGCAAATGCGAATGAGCAGGAGATGAACCTCAAAGGGCTCAGTTTGGATTTTCCTCCAAACCTCTTTGATCACAAACTGAGCTCTTTATCCCCTCGAAGCGTGCCCCAGGGGAAGGCTGCCCAGAGGTGTGCAATGATTAAAAGCAAATACTCTTGCTCCCATGACCATCTTCACTTCAGCTTAGCAGGTATCGACATATATCAAAAGCAGGTTTTTAATCTCAAAGTCAGTTTAGTTTGACTTTTGTGGCAGGATTTCAGGGTCAATTGTCACTTTACCCTATCACGACTGTTCATTTATTTTAAAGAGAGATCTTCCCTTTGGAACATCCTTTTCATCGTTTGGTATGTTCCCTTTTGTAGAGAGCTTGGCTTACTTGAGCATGGGCAACAGTTAAATCAAGAAATACAGCCTTGTTTTTATCCAGCATACTTGTTTAACTGAAGAAGATTCATAAAGGACTGTGTTTCTGTGAAAATCTTTGTCTCCCAAGTCTCATTTTGGAGTCTGAAGGATGCCTGCTGTTGCCTAAGAAACACCCAGTACAATTAAATACAAAGTCATTGTTGGACACTCAATGAGCTTGAAGGGATGCTGGGATGTCGTTTGTGTGTTTGGTCTTTCTTTGCTTATCTGGGCAGGATTTACTTAGTGAATGCTCATTGTAATTCTGCGAACACTGCTAATGTTGCATGTCTAATCTATCATGAATGTGGAGAGGGAGTGGGGAGGCTTGTTTTCTTCTTCTTCCCTTGCACGTATTTATTGTAGGGAAGGCTGGAGAGTTTGATTAAATTGTTTGAAGTAGTTAAAGATAGCCTGTTTGCCTTCTGCAAATACTTTACTAAGATTAGGTTTCTCGTTAGGACAAAGTGTGGCATTAAAACAACATCTGTATCTCATTGGGAATGATCTGTGCTCCTTGGAGAGCCGTGGGTTACCTGGAGGATCTCTTCTGCTTAATGCTACCCTAGTTCTGCTCTGTGGGTGTCCCTGGTCTCGAGATCTGGCGTACCAATGTAGCGTGAACCTGTTGCTTGCCAAGGAGGGAACTGGCTGGTAGGCGACCTGGGAGCTCCTTCCACTTCTGTCCTGCTCTGATGCACACAAAACCAGCTCAAGATGAGCAATTACTCCTGAAACCCGGAGAGATGATTGAAGGTTTGTGTTTTTAACCTGTCCTAGCTGTGAAGTACAGAGACGCCAGTTCATGGCGTACCCATGCTCTGCTGGGGTACTTCAGGGATGGGAATGTATGCAGAAGTATCTGCAAAGAGAGCTAAAACATTTATTAAGACTGTTTAACCAAGGGTCATTTCGTATTCATTTCATTCCAAAGCAAATGGGAAGAAAATTCATAAGTGCCGACTGAGAACAAGGCTCGTTTCTGAGCACCTATTAATCTTAAAACAGAATAGGCGTGTGGAGTTTCAACTTTAAATGGCAAAAGCTATTTTCTGTCTTCTGGAGGCTGCTTTATGTTACACGTACACAGATGCACGAACACCACCTCAGTTGCGTGAACTCGGGTTTGCACCCTGCCCTTGGTGCTCTCTGAGCCTGCAGGACACTCTGTGTCGCTGCTATCTCCTCCTAGACGGCCCTGCTGAAATTAAGCACAGGCAGCTGTAATATGTGGCTGCGCAAAGCTGTGAGATGTCAGCCATCGTCTTGCACTGTGTATTAAATCTGTGCCCGACTTGAAGCGCTGCCCTGGGCGCGCTGCTAACCCTGTCTGTCTCTCTGCCCTTTGTGCTACAGGTGCAAAGAGCTGAAATACGGCAAGGACCTACCCCAGATCTCCATCATCTTCATCTTCGTGAACGAAGCCCTCTCCGTGATCCTGCGATCAGTGCATAGCGCTGTTAATCATACGCCAGCTCACCTCCTGAAGGAGATTATCCTTGTGGACGACAACAGCGATGAAGGTTAGCAGCACTGGGATCTCGGCTCTCCAAAACACAGAAGGGTGTTTAATTTCTTAAAATCTTGTGGAGGAGTCGTGCTTCTTTGGGAGTGGTGACACTGCTGGGAGGCACATGGGGTGTGGTGGCAGGTGTGTTGGCTAGCACAGCAGTTTTCTTCAGCTTCTGTAGCCAAAAAGGAATAGGATCAACCAAAGTTAAAATCTGACATTATTATTGATTGAAACTGTAGCTGAAAGCTAGAATGCCAAAGGAAACGGGAAAGCCATCTTACCTTTCTCTTCATGGTAGCATTCAGTTCTGGTTTCAGTGTATCCTTGTTTCTAAAAGTAACACTTTGGTTGTTGCAGAGGTGCACCTCTAAATATTTACTGTGGATTTGAGGGACAGGAGCCTGGAGCCTAGTGAGCTATTCAGCTTTGCCCCCTTGCAGTGGTGTTCGGTGAGAGGTTTACTCTGTGTGTGCCTCAGTTTCCCTATCTGTAAAATAATGTCGCAGACTTTATAAATGACTGGGATCCTGGAGAGGCCCGCCTTCCTCTTATGTCGTGTTTTTGGTATGGGAGGATATGTAAAGTGGAAAAGGAGGAAACAAACATGCCTGAGCTGCTCAAGTCAGGCCACGACAAAATGTGGAGGGGGATGTTAGGTTTCACACACCAAACGTGTGTCATTTGGTTCAACCAGCTCTCAGTCACTGTTGCAATACCTTCCCTTCTGGCTTTTGATAACACAAAGCTGCAGGAGGTGGTTTCACATGGAAACATTTTCAGACTTGGATTCTCCCAAGATTTTTTCTTTTCCAGTGTACAGTTGGATAATATCATTAGGGTAGTTAAAATCTTAATGAAGAACAGCAAATAGTTAAGTTACTTTCGTTACTGCCTTCTTTATTTGTACTGCATGCTTTTAATACTATTTAAAAAAAAATATTAGGCATATGCTGTGGATGCTGTGATCAGAAGGGAAGAAGAGAAGGGTGCAGGACGTGGAGAGCTCGTTTCTAGAGGGAGCGTGAGAGGTTGCTTGTCTGACTGCAACGAGATGAGATGGTATACAGCAAGCTACTCAAGCCTGTAAAAATAGGCACTCAAATACCACAGTAATGAGCACCATAGAAAGCTGATGAATTATAATTACCAGTAAAAGAAACAGGAGGGCATCTCCTCAACTGATGGAAATCACAGCAGCTCTAGTGCAAAAGCTAGGATGATGTGCACCAGTGAAGCCATGGGATTTCAGAGCTGGAACTATTTGTCTGGTGAAGAGAAAGTGCAGGTGATCTGTCACTGCAGTATTTAGCATTGCCCAGCGCTTAGAAGGTTTGAAATACCAAAATGAGATGCCGTTTCTCCAAATTTTACCATATCAATGGGGTGAAGAGAGGAGCAATCTTTAAAAGAGAACCCGTTGGTGATAATTATTGAGCTTCTCTACCCGTTGCCGTGCACAAAGAAATATGTTTCTAAACAGCCTCCACCCATCATTCAGTATGCAGCACTGAGTCAAATACTCTGGTGACTCTATTGAAAGGCACAGGACAATGAAACAAATCCTTTCAAAAAGCATCGCCCCCCTGCCCCCGCATAAGCTGAGACTGCAGCTGTCAGTGAGGATGCAGAATGAAATCTCTTTATCCACCACTGAGATTGCAAGGCACTGTCTTCCCTGGTGGTTTGCTGCAAGGGCTGGGCCAGTGCTGGTGGGGCTGGATGGTGGCAAGGTGTCAACAGGGTGGTGAGACGGGTGGACAAAGCTTGTAGTGCGTTCAAGTGCTTCCAGCTCTGGGATTTCCTCTTTGTGCCTGTTTTTGCAGGCTGACCAAGCTGCCTGGGTTGTGTTGGAGTGCCTTGTGGCACCCACCTGGCCAGGGAGGCAGATGCAAGGAGATGACTTTTTGAGGAACAAAATCTTACATCATGTGCAGGAGGTGGGAAAATCCCAGTCGTCTTGCACGCCTAGGCAACGTGTGCTGTGCCTCCCACCAAGAGGATGCATTGATTGGATTGGAATCGTGAGCACCCAGGGTCCTTAGTGATGGGCCAGGGTTGTGCTGAAGGTTGTACAACACCTGAACATCAAGGTGGCTCTGTCCTCAGAAACCTTGCAGTGGAAGTGTACAAGGAGAGTGGGTGCCGGGAACGAGGCGATGCTATTAGGTGGTAGGGTCAGTTAGTAATGTCAGTACTGTGCTGCTGAGTCTTTGTAGGCGTCATGACAAATGAGATTCTTAAGGAGGGATTTGAAGGAAGATAATGAGGTAACCTGGCAGATGCTTATGGAGAGCTCCTCCCAAGCGTGTAATAATCTAGCTTTCTCATGTAAAAGAAATGATACAAACCAGAACGTATGTCTGGGACCCATGCGTTCACTCTCTGCATCGTCAAGGAGCTTCAATGACAGCAAAGAATTATTAATGGCAATAACGTTCTCATATAGTTCCCACTAATGGTAGGAAATAATTGTGGGCAGCAATAGCAACATCATATAGTTGATGCTTTGGATATTACAAACGAAGTCATTGTAATACATAGATTTGGCTTCTACAGGAAAATAATTACAGGAAAACAGTTTCTCATGAGCTCTAAGATTTAGAGATGAATCCTGGAGGATCAAGCGCTGGTGTTGAGCAGGGGATGGCGTTGCATGGGTGCAACTTTCATGGCTGTGATTGAACAAGAGAAGGAATTACTTTAGCCCCTTTGTGAGCAGCAGTGTGTTTGAGGTGCAGTTTCTATGGGTGTAGGGCTTGTTGCTGTAGCCTAGGCAAAGCATTCGGGGGCTCAGTTTTACACATCTGAAAGAAGGTTGACCTTCAGAGAGTAGTCGCTCAAAACCAGTAGCGGTGTTGCACCCTGGTTGTTACCAGAAGCAGCTTCTACAAAAGTTGCTAAAGGCTTATTAAAGTCCGTGGCTCGGGGTTGCACGCTGGGGGAGGGAGGTTTGTCTGTAGGTTTCGTCACAGAGCAGTTTACACAGATGTAAAGAAGAAATACATCTTGTGTGGGAAATTAAAGAACAAAGCATATTCCCAAAACATTTATTAAAAGACACCTGGGATTTGCAAGTCAACTTCAAGTTTTAAAATTAGTCCCATAGGTAAGAACTGCATATATCCTGCACACCCTGGCTGTGGTTTGCCCTTCAGGTAGACCACTAATGAGTTACACAGACATGATGAAAACCTTTTGGAGTTTTGTAGTTTTCAAACTGGAACAAGCTGCTTCATCGGACACTTCTTGCTCTTAGCTTTGCTGTAACATGGTATGTACCACACTGCTGCACAACATAGAAGTATGCAATAAGAGACTAAAAGTTAATAAGCATAGTAATTCTGATTCTTTATATCTGAGCTGTAAATAGATAAAAGATACCAATGTATTGTAATGGGGGAAGAAATAAAAAAATCCCTCCTTGAAGGAAAAACCTTGGGGAGTTGTAGTTTCAACCTGCTTCTCCCTTGGGCTGCACATTATACTTCGTAAAGACTTTTTTGGAGCCTGCTTTTGTTTGCGTTTGTTGCAGAGGTGCTGTTACAAAGCCAGTGCGCAGGTTGTGTTTCTGAGTGATAACATTTCCTGGGTTGTTGGAGGGATGCAGCAATGTGCCCCTGAGATGTTGCGTTATCTCACAGCTGCACACTTTGTCTGAGTCTGCTTAATCATCACTTACTTCCCCCCCCCCCCCCCGTCTTTTAGTGTTTTTAATCTGGGATAATATCTCTTTGAAAAGCAAACCTCTAGGTATAAAAGAAAACCTTTGGATAAAAGACTGCTTAAAGGAGCTGGCTACACTCAGGGAGACATGCTATGGGTTGTAATTTACCTTGGTGTAACATATTAGCTGTGACTTGATATATCATTTTCTTGTTTTGCAGCTCATTTCAACAACAGCAGCAGCAGCTTATGCACGCTCTCCTGGGAGCTGGCTCACTTGCGTTTTGTGTGTTTGTGTTTAGAGGAAGGTTTTAACAGGATTGCAAGAAGCTGAGTCATATCTCAGCTTTTCCTAGGCGCTGGTCCAACCAAAGTGCCTAATTATTCCAATTGCTCGAACTAAAGATGGGTTGCTTGATTGCAGCTGACCTGATGCTGTCCCACTGGTGTTTGGGTCTGAGGCTTTCAGGCCCTTCCAAGGCATGGAGGAGAGCAGCAAACCTGCTTGGTTTATCTGTATTCGTTTTTTACTGAGCTGAATGAACCAGAGGCATGCAGCTGAATGCACCTAATGGGACCAGCTTTGCCTGTAACCCTGTACGAGAATTGATTCATTCACCTGCTCCCCTTTTCAGTTTCCTTTTCAATATTTGCAGGCAGAAAGCTTCAGAGACTCACCTGGCTCTGATTCTCACTGCAAAAATTCTGATATTCATTTATTGCTTGTTGAAGGTGTTTCTTTTGTGAGTTCATGCTTCAGAAATCCAACCTGTTGATAGCTTTGGTCTTTCAGGCAGGCTAGAGCGTGAGACAAGGGAGGGCTGGTGTCTCCCATGGCACCAGAACACTCCCAGCCCTAACTTTGTGGCCTCCAGCCTTCAGTGTTTCTGATAACAGCCTTGGGCTCTGTAGACTTCTCCCACCCTGGCAAACACAATTATGTTTTCTTTAGGGGTGTAGAGGAGGTGCAGTCCACTCCCTAGGACCACCGGGGCATTTTTGTATAAGAAATTTTCTGCTGTTGATAGTTCCTTTAGCTCCTCTAGTGCTGTTGGTCTTTACTGCTTTCTTTGTGAGGCAGCAGCCAGTTCCCACCTTTAGTTCTGGGGACTGCAACAGGATTTGGGGAGATTGGGCAGGATTTGCAGAGATTGGGCAGGATTTGCGGTGTGGAGCACTGAGCAGTGGAAGTTCCTGTGGTTGCTTCTGGGCTAATGTCTGTGACATGCTTAGTTTCAGTGGCATCAGGTGGTTCAATTTCTCTGGCAGGCCTGTTTCCCTGAAAGCTTGTGTAGGTGACAAAATACTTTGCAATAGGTAACATAAGTCATTGCAGCTGGCAGATGGGTTTTTTAATAGAGCAACAGGTCTATTGGATTCTAGTTCCTTGGACTTGCCCTTCAGTGGAGATCAATACAGACAGATGGAGAACAAAAGGCAGGATTGAAATTGAACCTGCTGGCATTTTCAGTAGGTTTTCTCTGCAAATCTTCCCTGGAAGTAGCTCGTGCAGTGGCAAAGACCAAACGTTCGTAAATACCTCCGTGTGCAAATGTTGACTGCATCCTCAGTAAACAGGACTTAGGAATGGTGTGAGTGTGCTCTGAAGAGTGGTCCAGTAGGCTTCCTCAAAGGATGTGTGAGCGTGGCGGGGGGGAAGAGTGCCATAGGGTACAGAAGAGAGAGGAGTCTCTAGATTCTGTTGCAGTGCATAGTTTGGATCAATTTACTGGTTGTGTAGCCCACGTAGATCCACCCACTGAAATCTCTCACGAGTGCACGGCCTAAATAAGCAGTCCTTTGGTTAGGAAGGATGAGAGTGATCTGGGGAGCCACTGCTCTGCTCCCATCTTGGCTCCTGACTTTCTTTGTCATTACTTTGTATCCAGAATTTGAGTTATGAACACTGAGCTGATTATCATGCTAAAATTGTCATCATCTCAGATTTCTAGTGGATATTCTCACTTTTGGCAGTGAGCTGAAGGGGCGAGAGCAGCATTGCGACCCTGTGCAAGGCAGAGGTGAGGAGAATGGCAGCAAGTTATCTGAACTGCGAGATGCTTTCTCCCCTACTGTAGGTTGCATGAAGTGCTGAAAATAGCAGATCCAAAGGCCAGGTTGCCAGTTGGTGTGAAAGCTGACTCGCTTAAGCGAGGGTATCTGCTATTGTCCATTAGCACAAGTCATTTAATTCCTGGCATACTACTTCAGAACTCCCAACCTTCCTATTATGGCTCTGGGACGTGCTGCAAAGATACAGCAGTTGGGGATGAAACATTTCTTAAGCTACTATGACAGACGAAAAGCTTTGCTGCCACTGACCTTAATGCAACAGCTCTCCACATCCTCAGCCTGGAGCCATGCGTTCTGACAGCGCACGTCAGAGCCACCGTGAGCTGTTTTCCTGTTACGCTAATGGCACTCAGTGAAGTGACTGCCGAGTGAAGGAAAACGCAGGGTAATGTTAGGAATGACTTCAAGTGACTTGGATTAAGATGAGATTTGTGAGTGAGTTGTGATTTCCAGCCTGCCAGAGTTCACGTGGAGGGAGCTGAGCACGTCTGGTCCCACAGGATCAACATCCACGGGACCAGGGGAGCTCTGACAGTGTGGCTGTGCTGGCGCTGGGGTTTCCACTGATGCTTTTGAACACAGCCATGGCAGTCCGGCTCATTGACGAGGGGAAGTCTGGGCTAAGGCTCGCTTGATACTTGAACAGGAGTTTTGCAGAGCATTCCTGCAGACTGAGTTTTCAGTTTTGTTACCCAATACTGGATTTTCCACACTTGCACTTCTGGATGTGCTCAGAAATGAAATCCAGAGCTCACCCCATCCCTGTGCATGCTGGCTGGATGCTCAGTTGCGTGCCAGGTGTGTATCTTGTAATACCACAATATTGCTTGGCAGCCACTGTGCACCATGCCCTCTTCTCACAGCACTGCAAGCCAGCTCAGAAGGGCGAGAGACTGGCAAAGGCCAGCACAGATGTGCAGCCGTCCTCTGTTAGGGCTTGCACAGGCAGGTAAGACAAGTGAATTCTCATCCCAAAGACGTGTGCTGTGGGCTGAGCCAGACTGGGAGGGAAGGTAGGGAGCAAAGTCTGGAAATCTGTGCACTTGTGCCAGAAGCCTTTAGTAGAGAGAGGGTTTGGAACCACATTTCCCCTGTCTGGTTAATGCTTTTGTCTCTCTTGAGCGTTTCTCCACTTGGGTGGCAGCCTGTTAGGGATGCTTGTATCATGCATTGCAGGCAGGAGAGGGGCACTCTGGCCTCTGCTAATGAATGGGGTGGTGGGCTAGAATGATGCTAATCATAAGCATCTTCTTGACCAGCTCTCCATGGTCACCTCATGCCGTTTTGCAGGTGCATATGTGTGCTGTACTGGCCTTTGTGCTCTCAGCAGATCAGTTCTTCACGTGTTGGCATCCAGCATCCTTTCACAAAGGAGGAGGACGTGGCTGTGGCTCTCCGGGGAGTTTCTGACGAGCTGCATGTTACACAGTGTGGTGGGCATAGGAATCTCTTAGGCTTCACCCTTCACTGCCTTTGAGACATGATGTTACAATTCTTCTGTGTTTCGCTAGAGCTATACTCTCCTTTGAGCTGCTCAAACAATTCCCATGGAGACTTTTCCTGTTTCCTTTCCAATGAGATTAAAACTCCAATTTGAAAGTTGTTTTAATTGTTCAGTCTAGCCTGTGAGGCCATGGTCTGCAGCATTAATGACTTAACTTCTGACAAAAACACCTGGGATGCTGGTGCTATGCTTGTGGGGGTTTATCTGTCAAAAAAATCAGTGTCTCTGTCTCCTTAAAACCATTCAGGAGAGTTTTTCTCTGAGTGGCTCAGCATGAAATGGAAGTTGCTGAGTTATGTATGTATGTGATGCAGATGCTTCGAATTGAGGAAGGGGCTCATTTGCTATATTCTTTTTATTCACACTTCAGCATAGAAGAGAAATTGATATGTGAGGGGAACCATCCCAGAAAGGCAGTCTGAAGAAACCATGTTTTATGTGTTTGGAAGAAGGCGTGAAAGGGAAGGGAACAGATAATCCCTTTTCCCTTGATTTCTTGGGCTAAGCCCAACAGATGGGACTTGCTGTTTACTCTTTTGCTCTCCATTGCCGTGTTTCCTTCGTGTAGGAATCCATGTGTGCTCATATGTCTGAAGTATTTTACCATGTGGATTGTATTAATGGTGACCTTTTTTTTTTTTTTCTGGAGAAGAGGGTTTGTGTGAAGTGTAGTAGACTATAATTTGGGGTCATGGACCATATTTTAATTGTCTGCTGTCCTGGAGCCTCATAGGGATAAAAGACATCTCAGGAACTGCTTTCGTGGTGTTAAGAGTGCATGTTGGTACACAGTGGTATTGCTTAGCTTTTACAGACTACTTCTCATTAGTAGATCTTCGTGTATTTAGCTGATGCACCAGGAAGTAAAAGGACCAAGGTTTCTGGCAGAGCACTAGTACTTTTCCAAATAGTTGAAAAAACATGCTAGTACTTACGCTGTATTGTGACCTTTCATATGCTTCCACGTTCGAAGTCCTGTTTGTCTTTTATACTCGATATTTGTAACTATCAAAAAGTTTAATGCTGGTAATGACTGCAGGCTGACAGATCCATTATGTTCTCAGCCATATCACACATATCTGGGCTTAGACAACATAATTAAAAGATCTGCAGTTTCCAATGAATGGAAGATATGTCATATGAGCATCTTCTGAACAAAGCCAAAATCTCATAAAAGTCATAACAGCAGGGGAAATTTCAACTTTTCTAGTGGCAAAGCTTGGAAAACATACAGCAAATGCCAAGACTGTAGTAGTGAGGCTGAGTAAAAAGGATAGTGAAGGTCATACACAGTTGTGATGTAGTTTGTTACTTCATGTGGGTTTTGGAGCATTTCTAGCAATCCATTCAGCTAAAATCTCCATCAGAAATTCAGAGCACTAGTGTTTGATGTCCATGGGTGACTTCTTTCCATTCTTGTCTTTCAGCGGAGTGATACCTAGATACTGCAAGGCAATCTAGCTGGCCTCTTGCTGCTGCTCTTTGCCTCTGACGATGGCATTTGGGCTCCTTAGTAGTCCAACAGCAATGTTCTTGGCAACCTTGAATTTATTTTGTAAGGGTTGTGGTCAGTCCACCACCAGGTGGTCTTCTGCAAATCAGCATTGATGGACTCTAAACGGTTATATTCATCCCAGTGGTGTTCAGAGATGTGTGGCTCCAGTGGGTTATGCTTGTATCCACCAATAAAGTGGGTTTATTTTGGATGAAAACTGTTGCCACCTTTTCAATGGGTTCTCTGGCACTTCTTCTCTAGAGGAACTGAAGGCACCGCTAGAAGAATACGTCAACAAACGATACCCAGGCCTTGTGAAGGTGGTGCGCAACCAGAAGAGGGAAGGCCTTATCCGAGCTCGTATTGAAGGCTGGAAAGCTGCCAGCGGCCAGATCACTGGATTTTTTGATGCCCATGTGGAGTTCACTGCTGGCTGGTAGGTGCTCAGCCTCGAAGTCTCGGTTAGAGTGTGGGCGAAGCATTAAACAAGGGACAGCCCATCATTTTGTTAGGATGTGTTTGCAAACAAGTCCACTGGCTTATTTGTCCTGTCTTCCTTCTGCATTGAATGGCCACACGTTAGCTACCCACTGTGGAAAGAGCTAACTCCTTATTGTCCATGTTGAGCCTGTTTCTTTTGATGGTGCATAGTTCTTATATGGAAAGAGTCTCCAGGTGGCCACGGAGCACCTTCTCTGAGCCACTCCTAGCTGTACAGGTGGCCCGTGCTGCAGAGCTGGCCCCTAGTTAATGTAACATCTGATTTCATTGCTACCTTAGTAAAGATTTCAGGACAGCTCAGTTCAAAAACATGGACATTTTTAAAGTTAAAAAGTTCAGAATATGGAATTATTACTTAATAATGCTTTTTTAAAGCAGCATACCAGAGAAAACGCAGTGTACTGACTCTGCAGGAAAAAGATAAGGTCCAGTTTCGGAGGCTTTAATTCATTTCCACAGCTTTATGCCTTATTGTGTGGAAAGAGTCCTGTCCTTGTGCAGGTAACTTCAGCTGGTCTTCGAATTAGTGTAGTCAGTTGCATAGGAGAGCACTAAAACTCTCCAAACCTGCAGGGCTGCAGGTACCTGAGCTCCGTGCGTGGCAGCTGGTGGCCCCTGTGTCCGATGGCAGCTCCACACAAGGGATGTGTCCGGGTGGGAAATCCCATCAAGTGGAAGTGCTGAAGCCTCTTGCGGCTACTCCCTTGCAGCTGACAAAGCCTGGCAAGTCTTTGAGAAATAACCTTTTCAACTTGGCAGCGCAAATGCTTTGCCTCTCTGTGCTATTTCTGTGCTGATAAAAGCACGCGCGAGTGGAAGGGTGAGACAGAGGCCAGCGTGTTGCAGCCTGGGGTCACTCGCTGACTCTGCGAAGAGCCTTGTGACAGTCTCTGGGCTCCTCAGGCTGGGTTTTGCTGTGTCTTGCTGAAAACATGATGCCACTTGTGAATGGGCGCAGAGAGGAGTTCACATTAGTCCTTTCTGTTTGCTGAATAGTGGCAAGTATGCCTGTTTTCTTACCCTCACTTAAAGTGCACAAGCTGTACGAAAGCTACAGTGTCCAGCTGCAAATTATGGAAGAAATTAACGGTCTCTTCCTGTGCTTTTTTCTTTTACCACTCAGGGCTGAGCCGGTACTTTCACGAATTCAGGAAAATCGGAGAAGGGTCATTCTTCCCTCCATAGACAACATCAAGCAGGACAACTTTGAGGTGCAGCGTTACGAGAACTCTGCCCACGGGTACAGCTGGGAGCTGTGGTGCATGTACATCAGCCCTCCCAAGGACTGGTGGGATGCCGGAGACCCCTCGCTGCCCATCAGGTACGTTGCAGAGCCTGGGGCCACTCCTTCTCAGTCAGCGAGCTGCAATGAGGCAAAATGCAGAAAGATAAAGTGAGGAAGCCAGCCTAGAGGGGCTGGATGTAGTATCATGACACAAGCCATCTCAGAAAGGCTGTAACACAAGCCAGGAAGGTTTTTGCTAGAGCGAGGGTATTTGGAAACGGGTGTTATTTGGTAAGACTATTCAAAAACACTGAGGAAGTATAGAAACTGTGTAGATTTGTACAGTCTTAGTTTAACTGCATATGACAAAGTCGCTTTACCTTAATTACAGCGTTAAGTTTTTGCAAATCATAAGGAATGAGGTGATTATTCCTGTGTAATGAACTGAGTGTGAATTCATGAAATACAGCACTGTTTTTCCTTGAATAAAAAGTACATGTCCTCTTAGGGCGAACCTTGTAAAAATGTGTCGTAGGTTGTTCTAACACTTCAGCTTACAGGGTCTGCAGCTCTGAAATGTTGCCCCAGCCCCTCCAGACTTGGGTATGGGACAAGCCTGCTTAGAGAAAACAAAAGCAGGAGGGGAGGGATTAGCTCGGTGCAGATGGGAGACTGGGGCTGCTCTGTATGCAGAGGTCAGTGATTTTCCCTGGACGGCCCCTAAATATCAGAAGTGATGCTATGATTTGGTGTGCTTTTCTGGCCAGGTGAATAGGATATATTGCTCATAGAATCGTAGACTGCATTGGGTTGGAAGGGACCTCTAAAGGCCATCTAGCCCAACCCCCCTGCAATAAGCAGGGATGTCTCTTAACGAGGTCAGGTTGCTCAGAGCCCCATCAAGCCTGACCTTGAATGTCTCCAGGGATGGGGAGATATACACTGCCGTGTATATTGCTCCTAACTGGGTTAATAAGGAGAAGGCTTGTCCTCAGGCATATAACAGATGTATATATGCACATCCACGCTTGATCTGAGTCCTGAACTGAGATACCTGTGCTTCGGTCAATGGGATAATCCCTGGAAGCTGAAATTAGGTCTATTCCCATTTACAGAGATGTTTTTAATTTCTTTGGGCTCCCTTGTTCCAGACATCTTATTCAGCCATCAGTAGAGGAATTAACAGTTTATTCTGGACAGGAATCAAGTCTTTGAGGAATAAACAGTTATTTTAATGAAATGCAAGCTGCTGGACTTGTTAAAGGAGGGATTGAATGGCTGGGGTATACAGAAAGCAGAGCTGGGGAATTCAAAAGCCTTTGCAAGTGATGTGTGAGCAGTGAGGTGCTGGCCGCCCCTGTGGCAGCATGACACTGGTGCACACACTGGTTGGTGCCTCTGGAGGATGATGAAAGTGGACTGTCTCTGTTGGGATAAGCCTTTCTCAGCCGGTGAATGTAAAAGTCAAGAAAGTGTTGCAGGGAAGAGCGACGTCTTTTGTTAGACTAAACTGCTGTAGTTGGGAGAAACAGTCAGGCTTTGGGCATATGGGATGTCCCCTGTGACCACAATGCCACCCTGCGACCTTGCTGTGGTTCAAAAACTGTTAGACAAGGTGCATTGAGGAAACTGGACCCCCTAAATGTGACATTGAAATATATGGCATGACCTTCTGTTACATTGTCCTAACAGAACATGGTTTTAATTTCAGTGTCCTTAGAGGAGTGGTTAGGGAGGACAAGCTAGGGCACAGGCAGGTGGGGAGGGACAGGCTGCTTTGTGGAAGTTGGTGTTTGGTGGCAGGGGAGATGAGAAGGGAAAGAAACAGGGAAGAAAAGTGATTGACTGAGGAAGAGGAGGAGAGCTATGGGGAGCCGAAGGGTTGGATGGCTATGAAGAGGTGGAGTGGGGAGGTCAAGGAGGACATCGGGTTTTTTAAGATGTAGCTTTGCCCCAGGCTCCCCAGATATGAACCAGTTTACAAAGGCAGCCACCAAAGCCAGGAGTGCAGATGGGGTCACGTGGATGTTGGACACTTAGGCGTGTCTCCGGATCTACCAACACACTTTTTCCTTGGTTCAGTGCTGAGAGCCAGCAGGTACTGCTAGCTGGGAGTGAGTGCTGCCTGGAGGTTTTATGTGCTTCTGATCTACTGCTATAGAAATTCAGGAGTTGTCTTCTGTGGGGCAGAACATTGATCCAGTGGATGTTGCTAAAATGCGCACAGCATGTTGAGCATTGTATTTCTGCATTTAAGCAGATTGCAAACAGTTACTGCTTAGGGGGAGCTGGGAGGTGCGAGAGGTTTATCATTCAGCTCTGGGGTTCCTGCAACCTTTCTGCACCAGTTGCATGCCCTTTGAGACATAACCTTAGAGTGAGTGATGTCCCATGAGTCCCACAGCAGCCCTGTAATCCTGAGGGTCTGCCTGCTCAGCTCTTGAGCACTGCTGAGTTGAGCCACCAATGAATTAGAGATCAGAGAAGGCTTGTAGAGATGCTCGACAGGCAGCAGCCAGGATGGATGTCGTGATCATCCACTTTGACTTTGTTGAAGGCATCTGTAATGTGGATGCTGCTGCTTGAGGCCACGGTGTGTGTGGGAATCGGGGCTCGGAGGTTAAAGGGAGCCAGGGTGGAGGGGCACTGCCTCCGAAGTGTGCTCTGGAAAAGGGCTTTTATAACAAACCCAGTAGCCTTGCAGCGATGTTAAATAATTAAACAACTTACTAAAATAACATTGTTAACATGCACTGGGGGAAGGATTATGAGAAAGATAAATGGGTAGTGTCCACAACAAAAAGCTAATGAAAAATACTGTCTCATTGCATTACGTTGTGTAACCACATACAGACCAGAAATAAATGACTACAGTTATTTTTTTGTCATATAGTGCTATGAAAACTGTGCACTTTGTGGCAATATTTGCAGGAAAGGGATACCAATGCACTGCTCCATGTAATTATGCATGGGATTAGAGGAAATTCTGAAATTATAGTATACAGAGATACATTAGGTTTTTTAGAGACGTTTTATGATAAACTGCCTTACTTCACTCCTGCTCTTTTATTCCTTTTTTTTTTTTTTTTTTTTGGTTTTACTCTCTCAGCGCGTGGGGATTATAGTAGCCCCAAGAGAAGTTCCACTGCCTGCCAGGGTGCTCCAGTGTGCTTGTGAGCTGCTGTGTGGCAGCCCCTATCAAATCCTCAGCAGTGGAGACTGGAGACAGACAGCTGTGTGAATATGTTTGGAGGCAATTTTCTCTCATGGATAATTCACAAGATATAATTATCCAGGCAAAGAGAGCTGATGGCGTGAAACCCATCTAAAATATGGCCCAGTCTCAAACTGGCTCCAGGCTCCTGCTTTATCCAATAAAAGAAGTAGTCTCTCTTAATGCCTAGGAGGCCTGCCAGTGTAATACCTGTATTCCATAATACATCTTCTTTTGTATTTTTTTCCCATTAACGTCTAAAATCCTGATGCACAAAGATGCCTCAATCTTAGCACTCAGTTGTGCATGCCTTTCACAGCGAGACTTTCCTTGCCAGGCTTACAGACTTCCTCTGACTACCTCTGCCCAAAAGATAAAGCTGTGATTACAGCGTAATGTGTCATGTCTAAATTAGTTCTCACAGAAGAGGTAGACAGTAAGTGACATTTGAAACGGTCATCACATAGATCCTGATCTTCATCAGCACGAGCTCTTGCAGAGATATTTTGATTTAGTAGTTCAAATGGTGCTAATGTGTATGTGTGAATGAATACGTGCTTGCATTGCATGTCTGAACACACTTCACTTTAGGAGGTGTAGCCAGGATTTGTCCAGTCCTTTGCTATTGATGATACAGGGTTTACTGAGGGTCCAGAAAACCTGTGCATCAACAAAAAATGGAAGAAAGCCGGTGCTTTCCATGAAGTCCTAAAAAGGTCTTTGGAAATGCTGTCAAATTGCAGATTGATGATCTGATCTGGACTTGGGCTATCCCAGGGTGGGATCTGCCTTCTCATGGCCTCCAGGAATGATTCGTTTCCCACCTGGCAATGTGAGTTTTTTAAGGCTTCTTGGGGTCTGCAGCCTGTGCAGTGCTGCAGCAGCGGTGGGCTGCAGACCTCAACGCCAGCGGTTTCTTCTGCCTGACTTAGTTTGTGCTGCATTAGGTTTTGTCAGAAAGCAGCTTTGAAGAAATTGCTGATATCTGGAAGATTTATGGCTAGATGTGCCGATTGCGCTTCAGTTGCAAGACTCATGATTTATAATTACATATGTGAGATACTGATGTCTCCAGGGGTCTGATTCAGGAAAACAATTAAATGCACTCTTGCATCTGTGTCTTTTCAAGAAGCCAAGCAAGCAGATAGTGCATATTAAGCAGCCTTGAGGACAAGGGACACTTACCTGAGCATGGAAATTGGGGTCGTCGTGCTTTACTACTGGCAGTAGGTCACATATCCCACCAGAGAGAAAAGAAACTTGAATCTCTGCTGCTTGGTTGGTGAGTCCGTCAACAGTGCTGTGACTCCACTGTTCCCAAATGATAGATATTTAGAATATAATGCATTTCCTGACTTTCTCTTTATATGTTGCACACTTGGCTGGGCACATCGGTTGAATCCAGGAGGCAAAAGCACTGCAGAATAGCTCCATTAGTTAGCAACTCCCCGTAATGTGTAGGGGCTGAAGGGAGAGGTCCTCAGGTGACTTCAAAGATGACAAAGAAGCCTCTTTCCAAACATGCCGTGCACAGGGTGCCAGCTGGGAACCAGCTAGCAGGTTAAATTGGACTTTGGATGGGGCTTTGCTGCAGCTGTTTTATGTGGTACTTAATCTTTAGTGGTGTTGGAAGACAAAAGCTCATTTAATTAGTATTAAGATCGCTGTGAGGAGGAAATCAGTTTTGAGAGTTATGGATTGTAAAAGAATAGAAAGGCTGTTAGGTTTGGGGTTTTTTAGAGATGAAAATAATTTGTATTAACCCACCCAATTACCTGTTATCTCAGCCTCACAAGTGCTAATGAATTGCTCTTGCAATGTACTTATGAAGCAGTGAACTCTCATCCTGGTTCTGTAAATGATGCAGAGGTTGAGATGGAAA